TTAAAGAGATTTCTGAGAACCTCTGAAAAACAGAAGTTGATGCTCACCAGGCCGGAAATGGTAACAAATATTTCCAAAGAGTTGGGACTCCACTAGTCTACTATCAAGAAGATCAAGAAAAACAGAGCAACATAGATGATTAGGGGACTTGAGGCTAGAACATAAATAAAGAACAGTTGCCTGAATTGGGTATGTCTAGTTTGATGAAAAGAAGGACATGATAGCAGTGTTCCAATATCTCAGGGGCTGACACAAAGTAGAGGGAGGTAAAGCTATTCTGCAAAGCACGTGAGGGCAGGACAAGAAGCAAAGGGTGGAATTAATTGAGAAGAACCTAGAACTAAGGAGAAATGTCCTGACAGAACAATTAATCAGTGGAACAAGTTGCCTCCAGAAGTTGTAAATACTGCAACACTGGAAGTTTTTAAAAAGATGTCAGTGTGTCTGTGCATGAACTGAAGCTCAAGAGAAACAACAAGCTATAAGACAACAATCCAAAACACACAGGCCATATAACCAAAGAATAGTTAAATCAGAAGAAATTCAATGTTCCAGAAAGGCTAAATCAATCAGGAGAAATCAAAGTCCTGAGCTTAATCTTAGAAAAACATTGTGAAAGGACAGAAAACAGACAATTTGTGCAAGGAAGCCTACTAGTACCCTGAACTGAAGCTGTTCTCCAAGGAACTAAAGTTTCTCCAAGCCAACATACAGGATTGATCAACATTTATTGGAAAGGTTTAGTTGCAGTTATTGCTGCCCAAGAGAAGTAATTAGTGAAAGCAAAAGTTCATATATTTTTGCCACATATAAATACAGACTTTTGATCATTTTCCTCAATGTACAAATGAACAATAGTGCTTTGGACTTATCTGAGTGTTTTAAATCTAGTTTTAGAAGTTGTGTGGAGAATATATCACATTTTAGATAATATGCATGCAGAAATATTAAATTCAAAAGGGTTTACCAACTTTTAAGGACCATTGTATATCTAAAAAGCAAATTTCAAAGTATAATTTTTCAATCAGTTATTGAAATAACTACAGAGAATGTGTCAAAAGCAAAACTGCTCTTGAACTCTAAGGCAAGAAGACTTAAAACATAAACCAAATAACTTATGATACATTGATTATTAGATTGCATCTCTTCACATAACAAATTGGAGATACCATGCTTGAAAGTAAAAAAAAACCTGTGTGTAAAGAAAAGCGATATTAATTTTAACACAAATTTGTACCTAACTCAAAGTACAGGTAAGGCCTTTGTTGCAATTAGATATTTCATAAGTAGGTCTTTATGTTCATTGCAGTAAATTAGTTTGAAAATTAAGACAACCAGCCCCCGGTTAATGACCCCACTTGTTTAGCGACTGTTTGACGTTACGATGGTGCTGAACAGGTCCCCAAAGTTCTGACTATCCCAACATGCTTTAGATCACATAATTGAAATCTGGGCACTTGGTGATTAGCTTGTACTTATGATGGATGCAGTGTCCCATGTGATTGCCATTTGTGACCTTACCTGGCAATTTCACATATGCAAAGTCAATGGGGAAACTGCAGGGAATCTCACAAGTTGTCTTTGCCACCCAGCAGTAGTCACTGACCGCTCATGGGTTACCTGTGTACCTTTCCTCCACCTACTGCTGCTACCCCTGCCTCCATGCTCACATGATGCCCTACTGGCACCTTCTCCATGCTCACATGATGCCCCACCACATGCTCACATGATGCCCCACCTGCACCTTCTCCACTCAATAGATCACTGTCATAATAGAGCTGAAATCAATTCGAAAACATCAGCCTTAATGTCATTGTCCCTATCTACAGGACATGAATTTATCAGAATTAAGCTTAGGCTGTTTATTACTTTTTCCTATTCTTTGTATCTTAACTAGGGCAACTTAATACCTTAACTAAAGAATTCAAAACAATCAAAAACTATTTCTACATAAGAACATTTTAGTAGAATAACTGGTTTTGCAATGGTGACGTTTATTTAATGGAAGAGATTTTAAAACACACCTGTTTTTATATTCTTTTCTCCCTATTCAAAATGTTGAAATGACTAATAGTACTTTGCAGAAAAAAATTGAAAGAGATTGTTTTCTACCCCGCCCTACTTCTCATCTAACAGTTTATTGTTGTAATGCTTCCTAGGATATATAGTATTTCTTTAATTTGTTCACGTATGGAAGAATTCTGACTTAAGAGTTGAGATAATTATTGAACTAATTTTATGTATAAAACTGTCCACAGAACAAACTAGACTCATAACTAAAAAATTCAGGAAAGAAATCTCAATATTCATATTATTCATAGAAATCTATTCCTGCAACTTGCATAACTACATGCCCTGTTAATTATACCTTTTGTCATTTTTTTAATGTCATCAGAAAGTATTTTATGTAAAGACTGTAATTATGATATATGGATTCCCAATTATTGGACAGAATTCACATTAAGCTGTGTGTTTTCTGCTCTCTAAGCTGTTAATATATTATCTAGTTTAATGGAATCGATAGGAATATTTTGGGCAGGCCAGACAGATTGATAACTCTAATTATGCGCTGTTGGTGTAAGACTAATATTCAACACATTACATTGAAAAAGAACAATTTGAAAGAAACTGAAAAAGCCAGATTGTTGTTAATATACAATAGTACTAAATTTTATCAATAGGCAATACCAAAAAATGCAGGAAGAAGAAAAGAGGTTGAAATAGTAATAGCTTATCATCCCAGGTTGAAAACTTTACAAGGATTATGGCTACAGCTATGAATTAAGAGGTCTTAATTCTAGGCTGAAAAGGTTTAATTTATTAAGAAGCCTCTAATTCTAGGCTGATGATATTATGATACAAATCCAGTTTTGCATACAGACATCCACATGATTTAATTCAGGGGTCGCCAACCTTTTGGACTTCAGGGACCACCAAACTCATAATTTTAAATCCCAGGGACCACTAACCAGTTCTGTGGGCATGGCCTAATTTGTGGCTTGGTGGTCATGTGACTGGCTGGGCATGGCTTGTATGTATATATTATAAATATTTATATAAATATTGAATTTTGTATTAAAAAAGAGCAACTTTTACCCAAAATCAGGCAAAGCAGGCAGGCAGATTGAGTTGCTCACAGAATAATTCAGTGATCTATCTATCTGCCATCGGCTAGCTCAATCTGTCACATAAAATTTGCTTGCTGTGAGTCTGCACTGAATAATAGAACCTTGAGTCCTAAGGGAGGTTCGGCTGTGCTTAAAAAAAAGCAGAGCCAAAGATCTAAAGACTAGCGAGAAAGCAAGAAATCCAGCCATTTCCTGCTTCCTAGCTAATCTAAATCTCCCAGCACAGCAGAACAGATGATGGTCAGAAAAATAGCAATTTAGCAGGCAAGTTTGCTCGGTAAGGAATGAGTGGGCGGGGAGAGTTCCTGTGGGCCATGTGGGTGGTGCAGCCTTGTGTTTCTGCGCAGCCTGGATTAATTGCTTTGGGGGGGTTCTCTGGGGGTGAGATTTCTCTGCGGCCCACCAAAATTTTCTTGCAGCCCACGGGTTGGTGACCACTGGACTATAACAGATTGGGTAGAGGCAAAAGAGATGAAACAAGATCTTGGGAAGAAGCCAATGGAATGATGAATCTGGAGAACAGAAGACTGAAAGTAGAGATGGTATCAGTATTCAATTACATTGAGATGATTGTTAGAAACTGTTTTCTGTTGCCACAGAAATGAGGACAAGAAATAATTGGTACAAGTTAGATGTCTATGGAGATTCTCAGTCATCCAAGTCATGGTTGTCCCAAGGGGGGCTTTTTCAAAAGGCAACTGGACTTTCTGGTTTTCCTTCCCATTAGGACAAGATTCAGCAGTCCATAAGCATTTAAAAGACAAAGGCCACTCTTTAGAAGACAGAAAGGTCCATATTTTGGACAGAGGACCGCTCGTTTGAAAGAGGGGTCAAAAAGGCCATCTATGTCAAAATTGATCAGCCCTCTATGAACAGAAGGGGGGGATACAACATCATCTATCTCCAGTCTACAACACAGTCCTTTAAATGGTTCCAAGAAGGCTCCACACCCATTTAGTGTTAAAATCTCTTGGCCAAATGGTTTTTGCCCATTATGCACATAATTAATTGTAATGTAATGATTACAGTGAGGGGATGTTAATTTGCAGAGGTAATTAACAGCTAGCAATCAATAGCCACAACCTTGCCCCATTTGACAGGGGGATGGGGGAAAAATACAAGACAGTCTAAAGAAGTAAATATAATCAGTTGGTGTGTGAAACTCACTGGTCAGTGAAAATCTTTTGATGGCCAAAAATGAATGAGGTCCAAAGTTGCAAGTATGTACATTTCACTTAAAAAGGTTTCCTGGTTGTAAGATCTTTATAAACACAAATGATTAATTCACAGCAGTTTTTAAGAAGAGCTAGACAACTACCTTTTAAGCATGGTTTATTTGTTTATGGACTTTTTTCATATTAGAATAGAATAGAATAATGGAAGGGACCTTGGAGGTCTTCTAGTCCAACCCCCTGCTTAGGCAGGAAACCCTACACCATTTCAGACAAATGGTTATCCAACATCTTTTTAAAAACTTCCAGTGTTGGAGCATTCACAACTTCTGGAGGCAAGTTGTTCCACTTATTAATTGTTCTAACTTTCAGGAAATTTCTCCTTAGTTCTAAGTTGCTTTTCTCCTTGATTAGTTTTCACCCATTGCTTCTTATCCTACCCTCAGGTGCTTTGGAGAATAGCTTGACTCCCTCTTCTTTGTGACAGCCCCTGAGATATTGGAACACTGCTATCTGTAGAAGGTTCAACTAGTAGATAATCTTTGTGATCCCATCTATTTGCATATTTCTTTGATTCTGTGTCGCTACATTTTTTTATCCGTAATTTGTTTAGAGCTAATATCTAAACTCTGTTACTGAACCATAAGATAACATTAAGGAAGCAATTGGAAAGTCAATTATTCCTTTTTTGCTCTTCCAGAAAGACAGGGAAACCTTTTCATAATTTCATAAGTTGGCAAGATGTGAGAGCTGCTAACCTTGTTAAATCCTGGAACAGATCTTTTTTAATGAAGGTAAGATACTTCTTTGTATTGAAAGTAAGTTGGATGAAGGAAGGAAAGAATTTAGCATGTGTGTGAATATATATGCCCTTACTGTAGAGAAGACTGGTATTTGATTGTTACTTCTTTTCTGTATTTTTATAAAAGAAACAATGTCATAGGTGAAGATATTTGCATTTTTCTTTCAATTCTCCTTTTCTAAATGGCAAATAGGTCCTCTCTTCCAAAGCTGCACTTTGTAAACTACATGATTAGGAGAGGGAATTAGCATATTATATAGCTTAGTTTTTATTATTAGATTTAGAGCTAAGCCGATTTGGTAAAATAAGCTTAGTCACAAATTGCCTGAATGAAAATGTTGGTACAGGTAGTCTTCGACTTAACAACTATTCATTTAATGATTGATTGAAGTTACAACGGCACTAAAAAGGGGGGGGATTTAGGACTGTTGCAGCATCCTCATGGTCATTTGAACAAAATTCAGACACTTGGCAACTGGCATGTATTTATGACTGTTGCAGTGTCCATGGGTCATGTGTGATTGATTACCTTTGGCAACCATCTGACAAGCAAAGTCAATGGAGAAGCCATATTCCCTTAACAACAGTGCTACTAATTTAACAACTGCAGAGATTCATTTAACAACTGTGGTATGAAAGGTCATAAAATGGGACAAAGCTTATTTAACAACTGTCTTGCTTAGCAATGGAAATTTTGGTCTCAATTGTGGTTGTAAAATCAACGGCTGCCTGTATTAGTGAGGGTGTGCAGATGAATTTTGACTTCTGCAGTAAAATGGATCTGGTACTGTTTTTTAAAGACTCAGATTGGTTTTGTGTGTGCAGCAGAATGAAAAGTTTGTTTTAATACTGAAATAAAGTTATATTTTTTATTTAAAAGTGGCATTTATTAAAATGTTAAAAAAATTACCTGAACATGAAAAACCAGCATATCTGGCAAATTCTTGGGGTACAGCCTTTTTCTGCTCTGCTGATTTCTGTATGTGGCAAGTTTATAATATGAGCAGTATTCAAAATGGATTTCCTTCTTAGTAGTCAGAAGTGAAATAGATTCTTGTGTTTCAGTGTTATCTCTTGACCCCTGCATAGTCAGACTGTGATCTAGTCCTACTCATCAGAAAAATGTCCAACTTGCTTCTTGCTGGAATTCTGAACAGCAAAACTTATTTTGGACTGGCAAAATAAGTTTACATACAGGTCCAGATAAGCACCACTTCACCAAACAGTTGAGTAGTAATAATAATAAATAATAATAATAAAGTTTACAAATTGGAGACTGAACTGTGCTGGAATATTGAGGTTCGAAAAACCCTAAATAAAAAAATAGGGGAAAAAGGTGAAGACTTTGTATAATGGAGAGTGCCACCTTTTGACAAAAACTTGAGCTCAAACAAAAGGGAAAGCATCCTGTTTCTGAATGAACTTGTGTGGATATAGCATTAAAGAAATATTGAAACAAAGTAAGAATCTTAGAAAGTGAAAGCAGAACCAGAATAAAGAAAAAAGCAAGGAAAGACTGACTGTGGGATTGATTGATGTTTTTGGTATAGACCCTGGGCTGGAACAATTGAGAACTTTAGAAAATTTAAAGAAGAAAGAAGGAAAGTAAAAGTGGTTTTTTTTGTGGACTTTAATGATCATAAAATATAAGAGTGTGTAAAGATGATATCTCTTCGGGAATTAAAAATGGAACTTAAAAATATGAGAGAATTACTACAGGAAAGAGGCAAATCACTTTGCTCTGTGTTAGAAAAAATGGAAATGGCGATTGAAGAACAAGAAGAAACAGCTTAACTTAACTTGACTTAAATCTAATTGGACAGAAGCTCAAATGTTTATCCTACGAATCTTGTTTTCAAACAGGCAGTCCATGGTATTTCTTCTTTGCTGCACTTTTTCACTCGGATTAATAAACTTCTACTAGCCCGTTCTTTTAGTTTTACAACACAGCATGTCTCTTTAAGACTGGTTTGGGTTTTACAGCATTTATCTGAGGTAAGCCTATGTTAAAATTCTTTGTGTGGGATTTTCTGTTGGCTGAGACATTACTGGCAATGGTATCTAAGTGTTCATTTATTTGTCAATTGAAGATGAACTTGATAACTCTTCTAGTCTTTTCCAGTGTACTGTTCTCAACATATGATCCTAGATTGGCTAGAATATTGGGGTTTAGAGGTCAATATATCTGGTTAGCATGCAATAGGAGAAGATCCATGATACAAAAGGCTCCAAACTGGCGATTCATACTAATTTATTTTCATAGTTATTATTGAGAGCCTGTTTGATGCAGTGGTTAAAACATCAGGCTAGAAACTGGGAGTTCTTATCCTGTCTTAGGCACAAAGTGAGCTCCAGTCACACTCTCTCAGCCCTAGGAAGGAGGCAAGGGCGAACCATTTCTGAAAATAGTGATAAGAAAACTGCAGAGACCTGTTCACCCAGTCAACAGGAGTCAAAAACTGACTTGAAAGCACACACACAAAAAACCCAACCAAAAGCACCATAGTTAATATCTGATGGTCATTTTATATGGAAGTATAAAAAATAGTTTCTGATGTAGCAGTACAGGATAGATCAATACAGGAAATCTTAATTATTTTATGAAAATAACAACAGCAGCAATAACATGCTGTGAGCATTGAGATAAAATGACTTTTACAGAATGTGGCCGGTGACAAAATACTTATTTTGTAAAAGATTCAACACAGTTCCCTTCCTCTCAGGATTATCATATAACTGCATGCTACATCCATTGTCATAGCCAATTTACAATATACAGTGGTAATCTGTTATTCTCATCTAGCAGTTTTATTCAGTAGCTAGCAAAGGGTCTGTTGTCGTTGTCGTCCTCCTCCTCTAACACAGTATGTTTTTGAAAGATATCTAAAAAAAATTAGCTTTGGGATCAGCCATGATGCATGGAGTTGTACATTTCATAAAACTATCTGATTCACCTTCTGAACACTTACCAAACACCAATTTCCACATTATGGTATAAAGAAAAGGGTTTCCTTTAAACGTCATAAGAGCCTAGAAGGCTGATGTAATTAATTATCCTACTTGAATCAACCTTCTGGATTGTTTAGGGTTTTGTATACTACTATCAACCCCTTAGACTTGACTGAATAGCAGACTGGCTGTCTAGAGCTATTGTAAGTGCACTGATATGGATGGATTACATTTTCCTTCCTGCAAAAAAAAAAAATGCAACCTGTGTGTTCATTTGCAGGTAGAAAAAGCTACTAAAGATGACAATTGCTGTTTTGGAACAGTTGACACATGGTTACTTTATAAACTCACTAAAGGTGAGTACAGTGATTAAATGGGGGGAGGGGGAGATAATATACCCACATTTCACCCCTAAAATTGTGCAAGTGAATCTTATTCTGACATCCTTCACACAGCAGCACTTGTAAAATAGAATTGTCTGCAAATAAAAAAATATTGTCTTTCTAACCAAAGTCGAAAATTCAAAAGACGTTGGCAGTGAAAAAGCAGTAACAAGTTTTGTCCAAATCTAATCCAGGATCAAAAACAGATAATACCAAAGTTTCAAAGGTACAGACCTAAAGCGTAGTCAAAGGCAGTGCAAAGTTCAGGAATCTGGATAAACAAGGTGCATAATAGAAAAGGGAATTGCAAAATACATTATTCCTAGAATTTTTATCTCAAGGCAGCAGAGAATTCTACTGGAACCCCATTTTTGCTAATTCATGTCTTTGTCCTAATAGTAATCCATTTAGAAAATATTCATGTTTCTCTGGAAGTGCCCTTTTTCACCATTTTATACCTTGCACCACAATTTGAAGGTACTGACATTCTCATAGACTTAAGGATTGTGAGATATTTGTGAGGTTAAGAATCAGAGTTGAGTGTTTTAATTCTATGGTCAGATCGTATCTTTCAGACAATAGATGTTTCGTAGAATTTGTGTTATCTGATTCTCAGTCCTCCACTGACAAGGACATTGCAAAGAAACAGTAATAGCTACTAATGGAACTTTTTGCCCTACAGGTCTTTTCACTTGGAGGCAGGGAAAGTCTTCCACATGCACAATTTTACAGTCATGGTCCATGTGAGATTGGTTACTTTTATACTTGTGCACTGTATAGAGGATCAGGTGCTCCAGTAAAGGGAATGGTGATAATAGTGTTAATAGAACAACATCAGTTCTATATTACAAGATACCGTATTTATCGGCGTATAACACGCACAGGCGTATAACACGCATCTTCATTTTAAGAGGGAAATTTCACCCCCACTCCCACCCCACGCGCGCGCTTCAATCCACAGTGTCCCATTCTGCCTGCCTGCCTGCCTGCCTTAGTTTCTGGTTGTTTGGGAGCAGCTTCGGCTGAGAATAATAACTATTCGCCTCTTTTACTCAGCCGAAGCTGTTCCGATTCAACCATTAACGAAGGCAGGCAGGCAGGCAGAACGGAGCACTGCGGGCGGGCGGGCGGACGGGGTGGGGGAGAAAGGCGACAGGAAAAGCCCCCCCCCCCCAGCTTCTTTGAAGCAGTTTCTTCCTGTGCTGGTGGAGGAGCGAGAGAGCGACTGAGAGAGCTGACCCAGAGAGAAGGACAGGCTTCGGTTGCTTCCTCCCTCCCCTTCTTTCATTTGTGTCCTTGATCCCCGATCCCAGCAGCATTCACCGAAGGCTTCTTAACATTATATCGGCGTATAACATGCATACATCATTTGCCCCCTATTTTCAGGGGGAAAAAAGTGTGTGTTATACGCCGATAAATACGGTAATTAAAATAACCTCTTGGAAGGAGGCAATCCTGGTTTTATAATTAAGAATTATGTGACTGATACCTTATTCAGGAGATCAATCACCAAATTGTAATTTCCATGTTGTATTATAATTGCTTTTTGTTTTATTTTTCAATATCTGATTGTATATTCTAGGTGCAGTGTATGCTACAGATTATTCAAATGCCAGTACCACTGCATTTTTTGATCCGTTTAAGGTATGACTAGTTCCTTCTCCCATGTTGTTATGGTTTGTCTTTGCATTGTTTCTAATTTTATTTTTAATATGCATGTGATTTCAGCTGCAGTGGAGTGACCTTTTTAGCAAGCTACTTTCCATTCCAATATCGCTTTTCCCTCCAATAGAGGACACTAGGTAAGTTTTATTTAACATATTTTTTACTTTTTCCAAATGAAGGCATAAATGTCAAAGGAATTATCTATGTACTGTTAATGCTCTCATGTCTGTAACTTTTAGGGCAAAATCTTTTTCAACCAAGGTACCTCAAATAGGCTAGCTTACAGAATGCTGGGACCTGGGACTACTAAAATTTGGGGAAGTTTTGCCTGCTTCATTGTCACCACAGCATTGCTATGATCAGCCCAGTTACGTGATCCTCAATTTCAAAGTTCCCTGACAGCTTTCCACAGTTCTGTTGTAGCGACAATCCCTTTGCACTTGCACCATGCTCCCTCTCTTCCCTGTGCAACACCTGTTATCTACCTGCTGGGAAGGGAAGGAAAGGAGGGAGGGAAGGAAGATTTCTGATGCTAGCTGCCATCTTTCCACAAGGAAACTCAGTGGAGAAGCCAGAAAAAAATTGGATATCGCTTCCACTCCACTGATTGTTTGGCCCACCCATGGTCTTTCTGTTTCTCTGTTTAGATAAAGAAATATTTCTGAAATGGTAACACAATGGGTCATGAGTTATCTAGTTGAAATGTAAATATGAAATAGTTGAAATATAAATATGAAACACCAAAGTTCTGTTTAGAATAGATATGACAGTTTTTCTCTATTTAGTTAGCTCATTTACTGTAAATGTGTTGAATAAGTTGGAAGCACTAACTTCATTTATCTTTATTTTAAGCCACATTTTTGGATTAGTTGATGCTGAAATATTTGGAGTACCTATTGCAATAGCAGCTTTGGTAAATATAGAATCTTTTTTCTCTTTGACTTGGATATATTTAAATTCAGTTGGTGTTTAGTAAAACTTACTCATCCTTAAATTTCTAGAAGAAAGATTCAAAGTAAAAGCTAAATCTGAGCTTAATCTACTCTTGAAGATTCAAATTAACTTATTTGAAAACTTTTGCGTTCAATTAATTCTGTTCTTAAATGTCAGGATAAGCTGATTGGAAGAAAGGGAGTGGAAGAATCAGTATGCACAAATGGATTTGCACAATAACTGCATTTAGATTTGTAAATCTCATTTTACTGTCAAGATAATGCTATTTAATCCTTCTTAAAAACTAAGCATTCCAGTTTTGAAATCTTCTATTTCAGTGAATTAACTATTAATGAGAAGCTCTTTTTAAAGAACTTAAAATTGCACATTATTATGTTTTAAATATTTATACCTCTTGGATGCTTTGAGAGCCAAATTTAAGCCTGAATATCATTCACATATATTATTTGGGCAAGATTTATCTAGGGCCATAATTCATTTAATAATAATTATATTCAATACATCTGGCATACCTTTTTTATGCTCTCAGACTGGAACCTAGCCAGAACGTAATCCTGACATTACATCATAATACAAAGGTAGTGCTCAACTTATGAACCCCTAAAAAATGATTTAGGACCCAGTTTTAAAGTTCTGACATCTGAGCAACATACACAGGCACACTGCAGTCATGTGACTGCATTTTGGACATTTGTCAACCAGCCTACATTTATGGCCATTTGTAGTACCCTGTGGTCACGACTGATTTACAATGTTTTTCCCCAGAAACTTATTTATTTCAGATTTCGATCAAAAACTGCCCTAGCAAACAACCATGGTATTTGCTTTACAACTGACATGTTTGCTTAACAACTGCCATAAAAATGGTTGTAACATCAGATATGGTCAACTGATGACCTGCTTTAGGATCATCATGACTTACAAGTGAAATTGTGGAGTCAATTACAAGGACTACCTCTAAATATTTATCAAACTATTTTTGACTTGTTTATCATCTCTATGTCAAGTTTAATATGTCAGGGAGATGGGTAGGAGAACCAACTGTAACCTTTTATAAATTGAAAAATGAGTATAAGCTGTGTAATGCTACTGATTATGGTTTTGTCAACTATTTCTTCCTTTTTCTGTTTGTATCTAAAATGTAACATAGATGAACAAGTACTGTTTTCTTAGCAAAGTTCCTTAAGTTGTGCGTGAAGAGAGAAATAAATAGCATTGCTATTGATGTACTCCTAGTCCCTAAATTGTTTTAAAATGAATAGAAAAGAGTATAGTAATCAAGCCTAACTGTCATGTTTTTGTAAATAGATTCAATATCTTTTCCTCCCACACATAATACCTTATTTTACAAAATGTATAATAATAATATTATCCTTGTTAGAATTACAGCTCAGATAATAGAATGCCTCTTTGTTCCGTGAGTCTGGTAAACTTTGTCCCATAATACAATGGATTGGAAGAAGCTGTTGTCTCTATCCCCTCCTGTCTCAATGGCCCTAGCCTATCTGCAGCAGCCAGCTGGATTTAATTATTCTTCCAGTTTGCCCCACAATGCGCCAGAGGCAATGCTAGGGTAAGGACTTTGTGAGAAACTAAAACATAGCTGGATGTAGTTTACTAAGAATGTAGGGAAAATTGGAAACGAAATATGAAGTATATATAACCCAGAGCCAGCATCTGTAAGACGTTCTGCCAGTGTTATCACTTTGATGGCTGTACAATTTGGAATCAAAATGCAGGACCCAAAGAAAATAATCGAGACATGCTGCAGTATTTATTTTTTTTTAACAGTGTACACTGGAGGAACCTCCTCCAAAGAATATTGAGAGAGATTCCTACAGACAAAGGATGTACATTTCAGAAAGGAGAAATGTACATACATACATACATATGCATAAATAATAGGTGATGTAAGCATACATATTCACAATTAACAATTCTCTGTTATTTCCTGCGCTTCTATTGTTACTATCTTCAAGAAAGAATCATTGTTTTAGAAAAAGAAACATGTCATTAGATTGCCATAGAGTTTTTTTTGATAAAGCTTATTGTTAGCTAGACATCCAAGGCCACCTCTCTGTGTGTCTATTTGATTAATACACATTCCTTCTTTGTTTCTTTTTATGTTTCTAATTTGCTGTCACACTCCTATTTTTCTAATAATTTATCTTCTTCACAACAGTGATACCAAATTCTGATGCTACCTTAAATAAAAATTGTTAAAACAAACATAGATAGACATATAAGCAGACAGTAACCTATTAACGTTATTTATCTCACTAATGAAATAGAAAAGTACATGTCTTCTTTCCATTTTATTGCTTTTCTTATTTTTTAAGCTTGACACATTAGCTATTTAGTACAGTAAAGTTATAATGCACTTCTCAATGTTCAGATGTTTGATTTCTAGAGTAGCTGTTGATACCTCGCTGTCTGATTTTTATTTGTAGGCAGCAGACCAGCAGGCAGCCATGTTCGGACAGTGCTGTTTTGATACAGGTGACATAAAACTCACCATGGGAACTGGTACCTTTTGGGATATTAATACTGGAAACAACATTCATGTATCTAAGAAAGGTGTGTTTGTATGTTTCTGGTTGGCAAGAACAATTGTGGACACAGCAAAGTTTTTTTTCTGTGAAATAAAAATATTATTTAAATTCAATGCTTTATGTAATAAATTATATGTTAATCTAAATTTAATTTTACATTTATTTTAATTTTATACAATTTTATTTTATTAGAATTAAAATGGTTAATATAATTAAGTCTATTAATTATTTATCGATTAGTAATAAAAAATGTATTTTAGTCATAGGACATAGATAACTAAAGTTTTAGAAAAGGAAATCATTTCTGAAAAACTCCATTCCCAACTACATATTTTCTCAAGTCCCCTCCCCCCATTATTTAGTAAAAATAAATCTCAAAATATAATTCTAATAATTCCTAGAAGTACTTTTTTGTTCCAACTGATACAGGTTAAGTGCATTTATAGCTTTCACTTGGTCATAAGAAGGAAAAAAGCAACAGCAAAGTAAGAAATACTTCTTTATGGAAAAGACTGGATGTAGAAGTTTCAATTCAACCTGGAGTATAAAGATTATAAAAATTTTATTAAAATGTTATTTGAATAAGCTTCACAAAAGAGTTCTATGTTTAGGAGACCTCATATAAATGTGTTCCCACATTATTCAAACAGTGGAAGAACATATAACAATGAAAAAAATAGATTTGATTGTAGCTTATTGCTATGCTATTCAATAAATCACTAGTTTCCCTATTAATATAACCAACAGATAATTCTTGACTTATGACCAGTTGCTTAACTATTGTTTAAAGTTACAACTTACCCAAAAAAGGGGACTTAGGATCTGGATTCGAAGTTCCAACAGTAGGGCCCCCTCAGAAATTATGTGACCAAACTTTAGGTGCTTGGCAACATAGCTGCATTTATGGCCATTTACTGTGTCCTGTGGTCATGCGACTGCCATTTACAATATGTTTTACAAAATATGTTCAATTTTTGACAAAACTGCCACATTTGCTTTATGATTGCCACAAAAAAGGACATAAAATTGAAGTGTGGAAGAAGGGAAGAACTTCTTAGTTATTCTTCTATCCCTTGTACTGAGTCTTAATTCTCTGGTTATATTTCCAGAGGTTGTAGGGGAATTTGGTGAACGTTAGCATGTCTTCCGTTGTTGAAGGTTTTGCACTGAATCCTTTTCTAATGAATATAACGGGTCTATTGTGGCATAACATTGAAAATTTATGTTTTGTTATTTCAAGGCTTGTATCCATTGGTTGGTTGGAAAATTGGGAATGAGATCACCTACTTAGCTGAAGGCAATGCTTCTGATACTGGAAATGCTATCAAATGGATTCAGAGCTTAGGTGAGTTTAAGTATTGAAGTTGAATTATTTAAGCCTATGAATAATAAAGTAAAAAATGTTGCATCTAAATATGTTACTGGTTTTTATGTGAATGGATAAGGAAAACTGTCTTTTTTCCTTTGAATAATTCTGAAGATGTAAATTATATCAGTTCTTTTTTACTTTATTATCTAATGCCAAATGAAATACCAGGTAAAAGAAATATAAATGCAGTATTTAAAAGCTTGCATTTTATATTTTAAAACCACATGCCGTGAAAAGTAAATTTATGCTATTGGTAATATTGCCTGTATGCTAGAAGAAATACATTTTTAGATTTAGAAACTCTCTGACCCCCAAAGTTGTGTACTTTTATCACCAAGCAGTAAAAGATTTGCAAGATTTTACCATGGCATTTGCATCTATATTGCATTTCAAGTGGTAGATTGCATGCTTAGGAATAATGTCTTCCACAGTATCAGACATTCTGCATTGAAAGAAGTTCATATCTAGCTCTGTGCTACTTATATATAAATGCAATACTAATTTGTTATGCCATAACTGTCCAACTATTCCATTTCTTCTGGCACAGACATAAGAAGTATGCTTTTCTGCTGTTCTTCCTTATTTCCATTTGTTCATTCAGCTACTCCTGCTGAATATGCAAACAATGCCAATAGCGAGAAGATAGAATAGCATTTAACAGTTTCCTTCCTCAGGACAGTAAGAAAAAGCACATCACTCACTTTTTTTGAGAAACGGAAAGAGCCGTTTAAATTACTTTATTATAAAGAGGTGCCCAACACTTGAAATGCTAGAATATTTTCCAATACAGGTAGTCCTCAATCTTACAATCACAATTGAGCCCAAAATTTCCATTGCTAAGCAAGGCAGTTGGTAAGTGAATTTTGCCCCTTTTTGTGACCTTTTTTTGCCACAGTTGTAAAGTCACTGTAATTATTAAGTGAATCATGCGGTCATTAAGCAAATCTAGCTTTTCCCACTGACTTTGCTTGTTGGAAGCTGGCTGGGAAGGTTACAAATGGTGATCACATGACTCCAGGACAGTGCAACTGTCATAAATACCTGCCAGTTGCAAAGTGCCCGAATTTTGACCATTGGGGATGCTGCAACGCTCATAAATGTGAAAAATAGTCATAAATTACTTTTTTCCAGTGCCCTTATAACTGAACGGTCACTAAATGGTTTTATGTCTAGGACTACGTGTACTGAAAAGATAACTGAGGTAATCATCATACCTAAAGAAGCAGAAAGGACATACATTTTCTTGGGGTTAATTGTATAGAATTTTGAGAGTTGTTGATACATATTAATTCATATTTTGTGTGCTTACACAGAACTTTTTGACAATGTTGAAGAGACATCACAAATGGCACATAGCCTAGTAAATTCGGGAGGAGTTTGTTTTGTTCCATCTTTTAGTGGTTTGCAGGTAAAAGGTTTATTTACCTCAGTGACTGTTTTTCTTTCAAGTATGATCGTCCTGAATTACAGATAGTCCTTGATTTACAACCATTCATTAGTGACTGTTTAAAGTTATGACAGCACTGAAAAAAGTGACTTATGATCAGTTTTGACACTTAGACCATTTCAGCATCCCCATGATCAAATCTTGGGCGTTTGGCAACTGGCATTTACTGGTATTTATGACAGTTGCAGTGTCCCTTGATCATGTGATCACCATTTGTAAACTTCCCAGCCAGCTTCCAACAAGCAAAGTCAGTGGAGAAAGCCAGATTCACTTAACAACCGCATGATTCATTTAAGAAGTGCTTAAAATTATGGCAAAAAAGTTAGCAAAATGAGGCTGAACTCACTTAACCTTGTTTAGCAATGGAAATTTTGGGCTCAGTTGTGATTGTACATCAAGGACTAGTTGTATATACTTTATTCAACTTTCAGTATGTTCTACAATAAGTGATTTTCAAGGTAAATAAAATTACATTCTGAATCATCGTTGCTTATAGATTGCTTACTGCTCTTTCAATTTTCTTCTTACTATGCTGCCTCTTATTGTCACCTGTAAGTTATTCTTTTCCCTAATATTTCAGTCCTTTCTTGAACAATTGTCTTTAGAACATATCCCTGCATATTTTGTTTTAATATCTCTTTCATTTCAGATACCTGTGAATGATCCTTACGCATGTACTTCTTTTATGGGGATCACACCTACTACTACCAAAAAACATCTTGTTCGAGCTGTGTTGGAATCCATCGCTTTCAGGTACATGGATATGCCCTCTCAACATCGTTGGCCCTGTTCTCAGTATGCCCTCCTTATTCCATTTGTGTATATAGGCAACAGTAGCTGCATATCAGCAGTCATTATAACCAATCACATTTAGTTTCTGTTTTGTTCAGAACTCATAGTTTTTCAAAAAATTACCAAGATAAATGTTCAGTGTATCAGTTTCCATTGTAATACCTCTGTACTGTTGGATTTCTTCTTGGAATAAACTTGTTCATGTCAAGGGAAGGCAACTCTACTCCCTTAAAATACAAACACATCCATATAAGAAAATGAATCCCTATCATTATATCCCAGGGCTTACAAGCTATACAAACTCAAACCCTTGTTCATTCCAATGACATTTTTTGACAGTTGCTTTTTATGCACATTTCTTTCCAGTATCCTGTATTTTCTCCTCATGTTCAAATCCACTTCTCCATTTGTATTTCATTTTTGGCTCTCTACAAGATTTAAAACAATAGATTAGATAGATGGGATTTATTTTGCTTTGTTCCTTGCTGATTAAATTTTAAATTCAAAAATGTATACTATGGCTTTACATTATTTATATTACTTTTTGTTGGCAAATGAGAAAATGCATGATAAATGCTATCAGTTAGGAGATGCAAAAATGCTTAAATATTTTATTACTGAGAAAGCTACCTTATATTAAATATAGTAATCTTAATTATCACCTCTGCCTTTGTCATATAAAGCATAAGACAAAAAACTGAATTCATATATTCTAACTTGGAAAAGTGGTTATCTGATAAAATGACTGTGGATAGACTAGGAATATATTGTTATTAGTTTTTAGACTTTTGTACTAATAGCTCTATATTAGGATCATTGGAATTCTCATTATTTTTTCTGTCTTTAAAATGATACAAAACAATTTAATTAATTTGTTGACCCTTAGTATCTATCCTGCTTATGGTTTATTTTCTGGGGTTTTGTTGAATACCTGATGTATACTGCTTTAATCTTATGGGCAAAAAAACCCCTAAAATGTTATAAAAGAAAAGAAAACTATAGCTTAATAAAAACTATAGCTTAATAAACTAGAGCTCTTAGTTTATTAAGCAGTCTAATTTATTTTATTGTAGTTAATTTTAACTCCATTATAAACATGTTTAAACATCTAGCTAATTTTGATTGATTGTTGTTCCTTATGACACTTTATGCTTCTAATGTAATCGTTCCTTAGTATATCACTACTTTATTGAATTTTTCCCTCTCCATCTATTTTTTCAAGGAACAAACAGCTGTACGATACCATTACAACAGAGTTGAGCATTCCAGCTATGTCCATTCGGTATGTTTATATTGTATCCAAAATATTGAACATGAATATGAACATTTAATATGAATTTATATATTAAATAAGTTTTGTGCATGAACTTTAGGGCCCAATAGTTAAGTTAGAGCCAGTGTAATTTTGTTTTGGAGCCATTTCTTGCTGTAAGCTCCTGATCAAAAGATTTCTAGCAGCCTGTAGAATTATTTGTTTATAGAGTTATTGTTAGTCTCTTAATGGTATTTGTGTACAGTTATACTTGTCAAATCACTTTTTTCTATTTTATTCTTTGGAAATCTAAGATTTGCTTGGTAATCTTCTTGTAAGTACAAACTGTGAAATAGAAAGTAGTTAATGTTACTTTTAAGAATGGTACATTTTATCAGCATAAAGTACACAGGGGTGTCAAATTCAATTTCATAAAGGACCGCATCAGGGTTGTATTTGAACTTGGGGTTCCGGGGTGGCCAGGGTGAGTCTGGCCAGCTTGTCACTTAGGTTTGGGGGATGCCCTGTGGTGGCCAAAGTGCTTTTCCAGAAAAAAATGGGCTCCTGTGTGCTGCTGTGGCCCTTGTGAGCTCCACTTTCAGCTGCAATGGCCTCCTGCCACCTTTTGCCAGCAAAAATAGACCTTGGGGGGAGCACACACAGCCTTCCCGAGCTCCGTTTTTGTTGGCAGAGGCACTGTGGGCTGGTCCTTCACTGTTTATAGGATGGCCCCGCATACCAGATCTAAGCACCCCTTGGGCCAGATCCGGGCCCCGGCCTTGAATTTGACACCCCTGCATTTAGAGTATTACATTCATGGCTTACATTAAGCATTTCTACATATTACAACATGCATCATATTTGCTTCCATGTCACTTAGCTATCCTTTTTTCAACTAGATTGAGTTAGACACTCTTCAAAGCATTGCCATGTTGCCATGTTACACATAGCAACATTATATGTTTGCAGTATTCTAAGGCTGTGAGTACAAGAATGCTGTATCTCTTGACAGAGAGATGCCTTTTGATATGCTGATAAATCCAACCAATAGTAATGCTGACTTCAGTATCACTGTCAACCTGGAAATTTCAGAAAGGATATTATCCTGTCAAAACCATGTTGAATATTCCTGCACTGGTCAATTGAACTACTTAATTTTCTACTTAATTTTCAGAAAACTTGTGAATTTTATCATAACTGGATCTTATACAGTTATTAAAAGTTCCAAATCAGATTCTTCAGTACCTCAGATATATCTGATTAAAATAAAATATAAAACTAAACATTTTCCAAACAATGAAAATCTCAGTCTCTTCATAATTACACTCAAGTTTTATTTAGAATTTAAAAAACTAATAAGCAATACCATTAGTTACTTATATCATAGTAGAATATATATATGTGTGTGTGTGTGTGTATACATATATATGTATATGTGTGTGTGTGTGTGTGTGTGTATGTGGATCTATGGTTATTCGGGTTTTCTCCCGCGTAAAATTGGAAGTATCTAGGCGACGTTTCGATGAAGTCTCATTCATCATCTTCAGGCTTGTATCTTCGGCTTTGTGCTTCTCGGAGTAATGTGAGCTTGCAGCTGCTTCTTCCTTTTAACTGCTAGTGGGGGTGTGACTTGATTGGGTGGGGGCTTGGCTGTGTTCTGATTGGCTGGGTGTGTGTTCTCATTGGTTGGGGGTTTGGCTGTGTTCTGATTGGTGTGGTTGGCTGTGTTCTGATTGGCTGGGGGTGTGTTCTGTTCAGGTGGGGGCTTGGTTGTGCTCAAGTTAGTCTTAGTTGCTGGGGGATTTCAGCTGGTGAGCTGTGATCCTGTTGTTTGGCTTCGCGTTCGTGCCACATCTTCATGGTGGGCGTCAGTTCGCTTCATGTATGGGTCAGAGGGGTTTGAAGCGGGTAGTGATGCAGCTGCGGTATGGCTTCTGGTCCGTGGTCGTGTCTCATCTTCTGTGTGGGTGTGAGTCTGCTTTCTACGTGGAAGTGTGGTAGCATCTTGTGTGGCCCTCGTGGGTGTGGGTCTGGTGTCATTCTTCATGTTAGGTACTTGTTTGTTAATGAGGGCGGGTTTCCAAATGGCTGGTAGGCGGGAGGTATCATCTTGTTTATTCATGCTGTGTGGGCGTTTTTCTATCTCCATGGCTTCTCTGATTATTCTGTTGTTGAAATGTTCGGTTTTGGCGATAGTTCTGGTATTTTTAAAGTCAGTCTCATGTCCTGTGGCTTTGAGGTGTTGGACCAGGGAAGAGGTCGGTTCTTCTTTTTTGATTGAGTTCTTGTGTTCTTCAATGCGTGCACTTATTCTTCTGTTAGTTTGTCCGATGTATGTGGTGGGACAGGCTGTGAAAGGGATTTCGTATACTCCTTGGTTTTCTAACTCAATTTTGTCTTTAGGGTTTCTTAGGACGGTGGATATTTTTCTGTTTGTGCAGAATGCTGTTTTAATGTTGTGTTTTTAGAGGATCTTGCTGATTTTGTCTGTAGTGCCTTTTATATATGGGAGGAGGGCTTTGCCGTTCTCTTGTTCTCTTTCTTGGATTTTGGTTGCCTAGATACTTCCAATTTTACGCGGGAGAAAACCCGAATAACCAAAGAACCACATATAAATACCCGTGAAAACCTCAGAAAACATATATATATATATATATATATATATATATATATATGTGTGTGTGTGTGTGTGTTTTGAATATTGTATTTTATTTTATTTTCTCTCTCTCCCAACTCTATAGAGCTGACGGAGGCGTCAGTAAAAATAGTTTTGTGATGCAGATAACTTCGGATTTAATCAAGAAATCAATAAACAAGCCTGACAGTACAGACATGTCTTGTCTTGGAGCAGCTTTTCTAGCAGGCCTTGCTATTGGTATGTTTTATTCTGAATACCTGGGGAAATCTGTTTCAAGAGAAATGGTCATTTACATCTTGTTGTATAAAACAGGCAAATAATAATGATATTTTTTCAAGAGTATGCTATATAGTTTTTGTTATAGTCCATCAAGTCAGCCCTGATAGGTGGGACAGGGGGTGATGGTGCCTGCAGAGTCCCTAAAGTCACTCGTAAGGATGAATGACCACAGGGCCATAATTTCAGAACTGGGTCATAAGTCGCTTTTGGAGGGCGTCAGCAAAAACTTGGAATGGTTGCTAAGGAACTGGTGATAAGTTGAGGATTACCTCTATCAATTCACAAATTATTGTAGTTACATAGTCAGATTTCTCTGAAGCAGCCAAGGAAACCTATGTAGTGACTTTGCTTTTCAAAAATTAATTTGCAATCATTTAAACCAAGGTAGAACAGAAACTACAGTAGTACATCTCTTACTGTTGACTATACTATTCATCTGTTTGTTTGTTTGTTTGTTTGTTTAAAAATACTTACATAGCTGCCTGTATTGTAGCAGAATACTGGGGAGTGCCCAAAACATTAAATCAACAGAAAGCTCCAACCATAATCAATTATAACTCTATTAAAAAATATCATCTCACTTATGGCAACACTTTCCTATACATCCTAGAACCATAATTCTGCTGAGAAATCTATATGTTATTATTTAATAGATTTATTCTGCAAGTTAATTCTGTAATATGAAAGATATTCCAAATATTTAAACATTGTGTTGTTGATATTCTTCAAACAAGATTTATATATACCTCTATACATGTTTTAATACAGGAATCATGGTCAACATGAGAATGACTGTTTTATATCTTTTTGTTTGTTTTTTAGGATATTGGACTGACAAAGAACAACTGAAGACGTTCAGGCAAACTGACATGGTTTTTAAGCCACAAAGAGAACCAAAGGAGTATGAACCTGCCATGAGTAACTGGATAAAAGCTGTCTATCGTTCTCTCTCTTGGTATAGCCAGGCATCTCAGTAATTAATAGTATTTACATGTTGGACAATATACCTCACCACTTTATTTCTGCTTTAGACTTAATTGTACTAAGCAGTTATTGTTCTTGGACAATATTCAAGCAATACAAAAAGTCTCCTGGAATAGTAGTGAACCCCAGGTAGTAGTCAAGAGACTAAATGTCTCTTGTGAGTGTTGTGTTCTCAGCGACGATAATCTATAATAGGTTTGATTTTATTCATGAGATCAATATATATATATATATAGGGAATGTTCAGATACCACCCTAGGAGATTTCATATGGAAAATCTAGATTAAGATTGTATCAAAAAATTATTTCCAGATAGACAGGAGCATACCACATACTTCTGTTTTCTACTATAAATCATCTCCTTTTGGTAGAAATATATTTATTGGTATTATCTCCTCCTACTCCATCCCCAAATGAAAGAGACAAAGATGCATCCATATAGATAAATTGGTTCTAAGATTGGAGACTGGCTGTCTAGACTAGAGAGAAAAACTGTAAAAGCTTTTTGTTAATTTTAAGATGTCTTCTTTACGGTAAAAACTAGTAAGTTAAAAGTGAAACATGATATAGAAAACAACTACTTGCCAAATGATGTTTCAAACATTAGAATACAAAGACCACTAAATTATTATGTGAATTGACTCACCCTTGCAATGATGGCATTAATTTATTATAATTTTAAAAATGGTAAAATCTGAACTTTCCAAATTGCTTAATTGGAAATTGGTCAGCTGTCTTCTATCTATGTGAAGAATTTAGGATTTGCTGATAGGGTCAGCATAGTCAATATTGTCCAGTAAACTTTGGAAGTCTTGATATTCTGATCTAAGAGATAGGGAAAAACCTTTTAAAAGTTAAGTTTTTAGAATCTTAACTTTAAATTTAAACAGAAATGAAAGAAGCTTCTCTTTCACGTGTTTATTCAAATATTTGATGTTTAAAAATAAAAATAGATGCTTTTTTTTTACTCATTATAAACCCAAAGCGGATCTCATTGTTACTTTTCCTGCACTATACATTTCAGTACCTGATACTTCAGAACTTAAAAATTTTATAGCAATCACTATCTCTATGCAGTATGTAAATATTGAAAGTAGAATATTTGGGAAATAATACATATCAACATACTGCTTTCTGTGGTAATTTCCAGATTGCTGTGGTTAGGCCACAGATTGTTATGAGCCAGAATACATGTTTGGTCTTAATTTTGCACTAGTGCATTGACATTACATGTGAAAAAGATCACTATCATGTCTTTGGCCAATCTAGATTGGCTGATTGTCCTAGTTGAAAATAATGTCATATGCACAGTCTAAATTTTTATCAGATTTTAAGAAAAGTACATGAATTTGGTCACATTATTTTTATATTTGCATGGAACCCAGTTAAATTTCTGCAAAGTAATTGTAATTTTTATTTCTTAGAAATTACGCAGCACCTAAATTTTGTCACTAGGAAATTTCAATTTTAAATACTATATAAAGTAATTTTCAATGCATTATAAATACCTGCTGGCTGAGATTAAGTCCAGTGCTATGTTCTATACTTGCCTAAAAAGCCATCTTACACTAATTCAGATCTATAATCAATTCAGCTCAGTACTCACTGGTAGAAGTTCAGAAGATTCCTAGTATTAAGAAATACTAGAAAATATAGAGAGTCTTCAACTTACGACCATAATTGGGACTAGCATTTCAGTTGCTAATATGGTCGTTTAGTGAGTCATCATGTGATCGGACCTAATTTTATTAATATTTTTACTGTAGTTATTAAGCTGATCATGTCATTAAGCAAATCATGCAGTCATTCCCAATTCACTCTGTTGTCGGAAGTTGCAGGAAGATCATAAATCACAGTCGTCGTGTGACAGCAAGATGCCACAACCATGATAAACAAGAGCCAGTTGCCAAGTGCCCGAATTGCAATCATGTGACCACAAGGTGGCACAAGCAGTTGTAATTTCAAATGTGTGTTTTAACTCATTTTTCTCCCAAGGCAGTCATAACATCCAACCATCATTAGACAAAAGGTTGTTAAAACAAGGATTACCTGTACATTTGTAAACTTTATCTTGGTATTCAAAAAATACTCTGTAGTGAAGTGAAATTAATTTTTGTCTCAGAAATTTCTAAGCCATGTATATATCACTGTATATATCACTGGCTACCCAGTGACATATCTTTGGTCTGAAAGAGAGATAGAAGCTTTGCAGCAAGGCAATCCTTCATCTACGACCTATTTTGTGATGGATCAATATATTCATCAGAGATAAAGCAGAATTGAACAGAAGGATAACACAAAGGAGAAAATGAAGTTAAGTGAGTTAAAGATTTGTAGGCAAGTCTCAAAAAAAATTGCACAAGTTTTGTTTCAAGTAGTAATATTGAATCGCAGTTAAGTATGAAAATCACTGTGTGATTTGAATCGGTTGAATTGGCTTCAGGTCCTGCCGACATTTTGCTCCTAATAAATTCATTATAGGTTTTTAAGTTTTGCTCGAGGTTCATGATTTAATTAGGGCAACTGCCAGAATCCTGACACACTGCAAGATTCTGATTTATGGTGCTATATATCATAATAGCAAAGGCGTAAGTGCTAGAAGAAGGAATGGGAGCAACTGGGAGCTTTCTTTTAAATTCTGCATGTTAGTGCTTTCTCTATTTCTTGAGCCAGAACATAATTAGGATAGTTAATTATATATATTTCATCTGCATTTTATACATTACCGATTATAGTAACTAGATTATGTGAATTATAGGACTGATCTATGTCTAGTCACAAGAGCTGGAAAGGTTTAAAGACACCCACCCACCCACCCACACACACACACACACAAAAAAAAAAATGCCAGTCCTCTTGTAGAATACTCATCACATGCTATTTAATTGAAAGAACTATTTCTATTCTATAATAAAATTAATTGTATTGTTCTGAATTAATGTACTGATTAATTTGAGCCACTACTTTGTTCAAGCAATCTCTACAATATATACTGTATAATATAGCTGTATTTTGTGCTTATATTTTCATAATATATGATTTGTAAATTGAAACCAGTTGTTACAAAGTTCTAAATCAAGGCTGCTTTAATTTATACTGTGATCTATTACTTCAGATGTATATATTGAATACTCACTTGTAAATATAAGTTCCAGTCTCAAAATATTTTGAAACTATAAATATAACAGACTGATTCTTAATGTATTGAAGTATGACATTTAAGAGGAATCGTTGCTTATTAATAGTTTTATGCACTTGCAAATGGGGTTCCCAGCCTGGGGTGCGAGACGATATTCCAGGGGGTGCGAGAAAAGTCCAGGTAAATAATAGGATATTGGCTATATGTTGGCATTTTTATTTATTATTTATTTCAGGGGGTGCGAGGTTCGAGTGAAATTTCTTTAGGGGTGCGGGGCGAAAAAAAGGTTGGGAACCACTGTCCTATACTGTAAAAATGGTAACTCAGAAACGAATTGGGTCGAAATGGAGAAAAATCTGTTCTGCTTAATTACTTTGTGCTGAATTCCCGTTTTCTCCAATTTCATCAATAAGATATTGTTGTGTTTTCTTCTGACCTGGATCATCATCTTTAGTGACTCCATAATCCCCTGTGGGGTAGAGTCTGGGCAACTGAATAGAGATGAGTGTTTACTGGCCGGATGTTCTTCCTGTCACCAATGCAGAGTTTCTTTCAGAAGATACATTCTCATTGTGCCCAGAGTAACATCTGCCCCTACTTAGTATTGAACTCACAGCCTCCTGATTTGAGGCGGGAGCTCCACTTTTAGGCCACCATACCACTCATTTCTTCTGACTTGGATGCAGCTCAAGAATTCAATTCCACTGCATTTTGTGGATTTTATTCCCAAATAACATTATAGAATTGCTGCATAAAACTTTTATTGCAATAAAAAGTAATGTCTTTATTAAGCTAAACCTTAGTTTCAAGTAATTAATGGATACAACTATATAATTTTCTAAGCAACAGTAGAGAAGTGGTTAACATTGCTTTCTTCTGGGCTATTTTCAATTTCTTAGATCATCAATGGACCTGGAATTTCTATGAAATTTCTCATCCAAATAGTAACCAGGCCCAATTCTGCTTAGCTTCCAATGCCACATCAATACATTCTGAGCCTGTCATATTTTCCTTGATGTTAGGTTAATAAAGTTTATTGCTGACAAGTCCCATATAGTTAGCAAAGCCAAGAAGTAAAAATAACATGTTTCAGTGAAGTATCTATAAAATAAGTCTCAGTTAAATAAAGAATTTTGAAGTCCCCATCTTGAAAGTAGTCTCTTTAACATGCATTTCTCTCATCTGAGCTGCCTCCCCCCCATAGATATGGAAGACAAATTCAGGGATTGAGTCCCGCCCCTTAGCTTTTGGCAATCCAGTGACCTGTGAGAAGGTTGGGAATACATAAGTAGATAAGCCAATAGGCTTGTCAGTTCACTCCAGCATGTCGTCCAATGGGGGAATCCTGTTCACTTCCTCAGGAGCAACAGGCTCAAACCATTCCCAGATAACGGCAAGAATCTGTCACAAGTGCCTCCACTGAACCAGCAACCTTGGCATCTAACTGGGAACAAAGCCATGCAATTTTGTCTTCCAGAAAATCAGCAAATTCCTCAGCGTGCTTCTTCAGGTTTATCCTCCTTCCCCGGGAGAAGACAGCTTGCCATAAAGAGGGTTGCTGGTTGATCAGCTGCAGACACAATTAGTGTGGAGAAGTACTTACGCTTCATCACCCGAATTGCCATGAGTTAGGACTTAATAGCAAGTCTTACCCATGTTTGATTGAGTTTGTCCCGTGTCTTCTGCTAGCAGTGCTCTAGGCATCTCTTTATCCATGTCATCCCTCTCAATTTCTCCATATACCTTGTTGGACAAAAAGGTCTATGGGTTAGGAGAGGTCGCATGGACACAATCCTATCCAGAGCCTTTAACTCAACGTTTAAGTTACAATTGTAGATGTTTTAATAATGTTTAACCATTTCTGTTTTTTTCAGACTTATTTTAATTATGTTTCTGTTTAATGTTCTCTGTTGTAACTTCCTTTGTTGAAATCAAATGAGTCATTTTTAGCAATTTTTCACTTACGCACAGTACATGATGAATTTCATAGCAGTCTGGACTCTGTTTCCTGTCAATTCAGTTCTGGACATCATGGTGATGCAGAATTGTATTTTTTATTTCTTGATTTTTCAAGAACTCTGAAACACTATTTTGGGTTGGAGATTTCAGACATTAGAACATATAATATATGTGGTATCTCATCAAATGTTTCTAAGTTGTTGAATCCTATATATATTCATTCCTTGCTTTTGTCTAATCGCTCCTTGAATAATTCAAAAATATGTACATCTGTATGTCTTAAATCAGGGGTGTCAAACTCAAGGCCTGTGGGCCACAGCTGGCCCATATCACCTTAGCCTGGCCCAGCCCATCCAGGTAGGCAGGCACACAGGAAGTGAAAAGCATGTGGAGACTGGCCGTGCTCATTGGCCTTGTCCCGCCCAGCCTCTCGCCTCTGATCCTGGCCTCACCTTGCAACAGCAACCTTGAGGTAAGTGTGGTTGCACGTGGTGGGAGGGACAGCCAAACTGCATGAACTGCAATGGGGAGGGGGAGTGAAAATAGGAAAGTGCCACGAGCAATGGGCAGGCAATTTGACCTCTCCCCACTTCCCATTTGACCTCTCCCCACTGCCGTTGCCTTTCCACCTAGACTAGCTTACAACCAAATGGAAATGCCTCCCCACTGTGCCCAAGAATCTAGATCCCCCCAGCCTTGTGAAAGCACCGATGCCCCACTGGTCCTGGCATCAGAAACTGAAGGGCAGGGCAGGAGTGTAAGGAAGCACGATACACCCATGGACAATGGTCTGTGCTCCACAGAGGCTCCTGAGCTCCCGTTGTCAGGCAGACAGAATCAGGTGTGGGGTGGCATAGGGCAGCAGGCCAACTGCCCATTTGGTGTCAAGCAGGCAGGATAAGGTAGCTGGCCTGCCGCACATCACCGCTGTTCACCTGCTTCAGGGAGCTGGCACAGCTTCTGCAAATGGAGGAGGACTGGGGTGGGTGGGTCATACAGGCAAATGGCAAGGATTAGGGTTAACCATAATCAGCATTATGATTTCTCTCAAAAGGCCAGAGCTGAAGAAGCTTCTTGGATGAGAAGCTAAACATCTTCAAAGAAAAAACAAAGTCCAGTTGCCTCTTGAAACTACCCTGACAAAGGTCAATATAGTTTTGATCTGTATTTTGAACTAGTTCTTTATAAGAATTCATCTTGTAATCAGTATATCTTTACGGCAGATGGCAGTAGAGTAAAAGCAAAGGCATAAAAACCTACCAGTAGCACGTGTTCTGCATCCAAGAGAAAACACAGCTTTCTCAGTCTAAATATTACCTTATTCACAAAAAAGTTAATTTAAATTCAAATAATGTTCTGCATAGCTATAGTCTTCAGTATAAGAAATAATACTAAAACACTATCAACATTTCTAAATCATATTTGCCTTCCAATAGACAAATGTGATACGTGACATCAGAAAATTCCAGTATTGTTTAAAATGCTTAGTTTTTTAATTTTAAAAAACTTCCCCTGTATCATTCCCCATAAAAAGAATCCATCTTTGGTAAGTGAACAGGTTTATTTTAAAATTTGTATTCTGGTTCTGGAAATGAATGCAGTTTCTGGTGCACTAGGTCAAAGATAATATTTTGGCTTCAAGATATATTTGCATTGATTGGCTGATATTCTCCCATTGTGCTGTTTTAGTTACAAAAAGGTTTCTCTTTTTGTAGTCCTTTTGACTTGGGATAAAGGTACAAAAATGTAGAATTTTTATTTACATAAACAGTTTTAAGAGTTTATTCATATAAACCTGTGTAGAGTTGAGTATATAATTTCCTTTGTAAAGTTAGGAGGAGCACAGTGGTTCTTGAGGTTAGGATGCTGGGCTGATCAGCAAGCTCACATTTGAGACCTGGTTTCTACTCTGGGATGGGGTGAGCTCCCATCACATGCTCCTGCTCCTCCCGACCCAGCAGTTCAAAAATAGGTGACTGCGAGTAGCGGGATGGGTGTCACTTTGGGGGGAATGAAAGGAGCCCCCAACTGGACATCCTCCCAGCAACAGGGATGTTACTGTTCAATTCTTTCAACCCGGAAGCACTTCAATGCACCCAACACCAATATAGTAGCAGTGCAATTGGAGGCCCTATCACTCACGTTTTACTTATTTTGCATGCATGTCTGGTCTCTAGTTCAGGAGGAGGAGAAGGAAGAGCCGGAAGTGGAGGCAGCAAGGAATAAAAATGATCCCAATGCTGACAGAGTCCCCAGGTCATGAAGCTTGAGAAGTTGACATGTCCACTGGAGGGCAGACTGAGGCAGAGTAAAGGAGGAAGATCCATTGGGGGAGGGCGGAACAGTAGCACAAAAGAACATGACAAACCAGAGGGTGGGGTGGTGGTAGACACGGCAATGGAATACAGTGGTACAGAAAAAGATGGGGCAAGTGAGTTGGGTTGGGGAGAATTGAAGCAGATGCAATTTGTGCAGGTCTGAGAAGGACCAAACTAGGAATGTCAAGGACTGCCTGTATAATCGCATTGCTTAGCCATGGAAAATCTGGTCCCAATTATCATTGTTAATCAACAACTACCTGTAACCGAGGTATAATACAGTATAGTTGTCAGAACTGAAAATAAGATGACTTTCCTTTAAGTTGCATGTATTTTAAGATGTTTTCTTCAGATTCATTCCTGGTTATGTTAGAGCACATTGTTAGAACATATCATGTGATCAGATTTCTGCTTCTTCCTTGGTACAGGCAGTCCTATAAAATGTTTGACTAAACTTGTACTTATAAGTGGGCTGCCTACTACTAAAAATGGTGTATGGTATTCTTTCTTGAGCCAATGAAACCATTCTATGTTTTTATGCTTCCTAAAAACTGCTGAATATGCAACCTGCTTTGCAGTGTTTCATAAAAATACTGCACAGTTTCAGCTGTTTTTTTTTATATTATTCCTACAGCCTCTCTTGTGTTTGGGAGTATTTTGAATTATTTAAATATAAAAAAGTTGAAGACCCCCAAAGGTGTATTTCTTTTTTTTAATCTTAAAATCTGTATAGTACATGTTTTCCCTTTTTCTTTTCTTTTTCACATATATGTCAGTGTTCAAT